GGATTTTTAACAAAGCCGTTTCTTAAGTGTCTGCAAAGCTGCAACTCTTGGCCCATTCAAAAAATGGAAGCTGTTGGTACAGTTTTGCACTGATGACGACAAGTTCTCTCAATTTAGGGCTCATATCAGTGATATTAGACTGTTTACCATAGTTTTGGTTTTACACGAGAGGAAAATCAGGAAGTTTGCAAAACTATTGTTATCTTAATACTGTCATTGAAATAAGTTAATTAAATAACAAGAAACAAGCGAAAAAAGTAGTAAACAACCATATGCTTTATAAATTAAACCAGACAGGATTAACCTTAAAATAGTCCAGCTTATCTACAGGGGTGACAAATCCACATGGAATATGTTTATGGTGTGACTAGGTAGATAAAAACATTGACTATACACATCTACATAGAGGTGTATAGTCAATGATAAGAAGTGTGGAATATCTACTTACAATTGTCCACCTTATGCAATATATAACATTTAAAACATAGAATTTTGACTGAAGTACTCTCTGAGACTCAGAGCGTACTTGCAACTTACATGCAACTATGTTAATTTTAACAAAATCTTTGCGTTTGCTACAACTAGTCAGTCCTAGTCCATATAGACGGGTTGTTTGCTTTAGAATCCGAAAGTCAAAGAACATTAACAAATCCGAAAAAATGTTTGTATTTCAACTAAACAGTCGCATGCAATACAAGATGGCGGCACGAGTCCACCTCGCTGGGCCTCTGCCTCAAGGCTGGTTAATAAGACTACTTTTTTCGAGCGTCCGTCTGCCATAGCGCGCCAGGTAACTAGGCCTACTTCAGTATCTAAACTACCATCGCCCGCTCCACAATTACTTACTGTGATGGGTATGAGAGCCAGCTTTGCCGCGCCGCCGCCGCTCTGAGTGGTAACTAGGGTTTAAACAATACCGATAACACCACTGACATAGCGTAATGTGACAATAGTTGATCTGTACACCTCTTCGACTCTCAAACTCCAATAGTTGAGATACGATTGCACTAACCACGCATTTTGTGTGTAGATTCTTTGTTACAATTTATCATACTTTGTTGTAAACACTCTGCTGATACTAGTTTTAAATCCTTTACAACGGTTTATATGGGGATGCACTTAAGCTCATAAATAATGCAAACTGAAAACGATGAAATAACTGAAAACATACTGGATGAAAAACTGGGATAGCCAACACCAGTAACACCAGTAACATCAGTTCAGCTGCACAGGCAGTTCTTGCTCAGTATTTTGCACAGGCAAACTGTCTACTAGTAGTTACATCTATCGTGTTGGATCCGCTCTCATCAAAAGGATGTGTATTTTACGCTTTATCAAGGAAACATTAAGGTGTGGTTTCTGTCAACACATAAGATTGGATGTCCATAGAACTTCATCACATAAACGGAAACCACTTTCCACTACTTATATTAGTTGAAATACCTCTTTCATAAGCAACATCAATTAACTTCATTGCCAAGAGCCTTCGCCCAACTTGCGAACCTTGAGGTTTACAACGCGATGTCCTAAAAGGAGAAACCTCGGGTCAGGCTAAGGTCAAACACACGGCGAACTGACGAGCAATCAGCGGATAACAAGAAATTAAAAGAGACCGGGACATAAAACGAGCAAACCCACGGCACGAAGGAGATGTAGATAGAAGAATGACAATAAAAGAAGAAGAGAAGCGGGTCGTGATGTGGAGCAGGAACAATATATTGTGGTGAAGATCTGCGAAGCGCCGAGACCAGGACTGGGACCCTGCATAAACGAAGATAAGAACACAAGGCTCCGACAACAGACAAAGGAACAGCGGAGGTTTGGAAGAAACTGTATTGTATCACAGATATGCAAGTATTGCTACATACAGTACCATCATATTGCGTTAAATGGAGATAAGAACACAAGGCTCCGACAACAGACAAAGGAACAGTGGAGGTTTGGAAGAAACTGTATTGTATCACAGATATGCAAGTATTGCTACATACCACCATATTGCGTTAAATGGAGATAAGAACAAAAGGCTCCGACAACAGACAAAGGAACAGTGGAGGTTTGGAAGAAACTGTATTGTATCACAGATATGCAAGTATTGCTATATACCACCATATTGCATTAAATGGAGATAAGAACAAAAGGTTTCGACAACAGACAAAGGAACAGTGGAGGTTTGGAGGAAACTGTATTGTATCACAGATATGCAAGTATTGCTATTTACCACCATATTGCGTAAAATGGAGATAAGAACAAAAGGTTTCGACAGCGGGCAAAGGAACAGTGGAGATTTAGATGAGATTGTGTTGCATCCCATACATACAAGTATTACTACTACGGTCCCTTGATACTATCTAGTTGTGTTGTATGGATATAACAACAAAAGGTCCTGACAATGGACAATGGAACAGTGGAGGTTTGGAGGAAACTGTATTGTATCACAGATATGCAAGTATTGCTACATACCACCATATTGCGTTATATGGAGATAAGAACAAAGGTTTCGACAGCGGACAAAGGAACAGTGGAGATTTAGATGAGATTGTATTGCATCCCATACATACAAGTATTACTACTACGGTTCCTAGTCTGATACTACCTAGTTGTGATGTATGGATATAACAACAAAAGGCCCTGACAATGGACAAAGGAACAGTTGAGGTTTGGAAGAAACTGTAGTTTATCATAGATATACAAGTAGCGCTTGATACTATCTGCATACTATTCTTATCTCCATTGAGTTAAATTGAGATAAGGAACAAAAGGCTTCGACAGTGGACCTTTGCACGACAATGCAATAACGGATAAACTATATTTTACTACAGGGATTCAAATTTAGTGCAGTATTGTCATAATTTTACCTTTTTATGGTAATTAAATATCTTAATATTTCCTTCAGAAAGGTTTGGAAAAGTGCATAATGATTTGGAAAAGAATTCCACAGGTGTCAGCATATTTTCCGACTAAACATTTTTTCTACACTTTTTGATAGCTTTCTAAATGCCAATTTGTTAAGTTCTCATGTACCTGTAAAATTTGATATCTCCTTAGTCTGAGACTTTGCATAACAATAGATACTACGAGTACCTAGAATATCTATGTTGTCTAGCGTGTGATGTTAAACTACTTGAACAATTATCGTTCATATGTAACACGGAGGGGTGATGGGGGGAGGGAGGGGAGGGGGAGGTACGAGGAGGATCAAGGACGTCAAGGACACTCGCTGGAATCCGAGACTGCACTTTACTCTGGGAATCTTCTCTCCCACCTTCTGCCTAGCGACCGTTCCCGCCAAATCATATCACCTTTCAATATCCGAACTAATCGATTTCCATAAAAAATGAAGAGGTTTACTTAGTTTGGTTGCTAACTAGGAACCTTTAGCTTCCTACATTTCCTCTGTAGATCTCTTGTCACCGCATAGTATCCCTTGTTCAAGTCCCTAGAAGGCCTTTAACCACAAGAATCCTCAATGGTAATAAACGAGTAGTTATTCAAAAGGTCGATTGACACGTCATGTAATTCCCACCCACGAAAGTACCGCATAAAATCCATTTGGCCCAATTTAGAAGCATAGTTCTGAAAATGACCATTTGACACATCAGCGTTGAGATTTAAAACATTCTGAAGCCATTTTAACATGGGGGTAATCATGGTTTATCTAGGGCCTATATTGCAAACCACCTTGCAGAGTCATCATAGACAGAATTTTTATAAGTTCTGTGTACTACCACTTGATGTAGTCTGCAGAATACTCCGCTCCTGTGGGGTAGCGGAATTTTATCCCCTGAGCAAAACTGACATCACAGCCTGGGAGGTAAAATTCCGACCGCGAACTTTTGACTTGCACAGCATGAGTTGATTAAATCAAAGGTGGAATTAAACGTATCTCTTCATGGTTTTGAATTTTATCAGAACAAATAAAAGTATAACACCTAGAGTGTACGGGCCGAAATGTCACCCCGGACTTTTACCTCCCCTCGCGAGTTCAGCCATAGCCACCTCTAATACACAGCCTGTGTACTAGAGATTAGAGAAGGCTGTTCAGCTCAAAATGTACGGCCCTGATTTTTACCCCCGGAACACCCCTTGGCCACATATGGAATTTGGTGGGAATAATGATTTTCTTTAATAATAGGTGTTTTTAGAGAAAGACGTTTAAACAGTTAACTAGTATGCTAATTTTTACAGCTGTTTATATTACAATTTGCAGGCAAATTAAATCAATCTAGGCTGTGTAATTGTACAAACCTAGGCTTTGTCTCCGACTTTTGAAAGCTTTCTCAAAAACACCCATTGTACAACATTTTTAAACAATTTCTGTATGTGGCCATAGTGTTAAATTCCGGAGGTAAAATCTGGGCCGTACTATTGCCTAAACCCTAGTTATAGGGGTCAGGGGGTAAAATTCCGGATTTTATTCCTAATCTAATTTATCACGCTCAGTCTATTTTCATTAGACTCCCAAATCAACGGGGGTGAAATTCCGCTCGGAACAAACTTGAGAGCGTAGGTAACCTACGTCATAGTGATGTTGGCTCTGCTCAGGGGGAAAAATTCCAGGCTAATAAAATTCCGGCGACCCGACTTAAACACATCTTTACACTTTTGTGAATTTAATCAGAACAAATTAAACTATAAAACCTAGAATGTCCGGGCCTAAATTTTACCCCCGGACCTTTACCTCCTTCATGATTTTAGCTCAAAATTTACGGCCCGGATTTTATCTCCAGATTTGTACACCCGGATTTGTACGCCTAGAATTTCCCCCCTGTTCTGATGTAGAATTACGTGAGAATAAGTCATTTTGTACAAAATAGGTGTTTTTGTAGAAATACGTTTCATCAGTATTTACCGCTGTTATATTAAATGTTGTAGGCAAATTACATTTGTAAACAAAATATCAAAATAATTCAAAACGTGTACAAACTTAATACACACAATCTAGAACTATTATTTGTGCTAAATGTAAAATTTGATTTGTTTGGACCAGCTGTCTTAAATTGTTAAATAAGCTTTGATAGTTGAGCGGTAGAAGATGGTGGCGATGGTGGACGACGGTAGCGATGGTGGACGATGGTGGCGATGGTGGACGACGGTGGCGATGGTGGCGATGGTGGACGACAGTGGTGACGGTGGCGATGGTGGACGACAGTGGCGATGGTGGCGAGGTGGCGATGGTGGCGATGGTGGATGACGGTGGCGATGGTGGCGATGGTGGACGACAGTGGTGACGGTGGCGATGGTGGACGACAGTGGCGATTGTGGACGACGGTGGCGATGGTGGATGACGGTGGCGATGGTGGCGATTGTGGACGACGGTGGCGATGGGGGACGACGGTGGCGATGGGGGACGACGGTGGCGATGGGGGACGACGGTGGTGATGGTGGATGACGGTGGCGATGGTGGCGATTGTGGATGACGGTGGCGATGGGAGACGACGGTGGCGATGGTGGATGACGGTGGCGATGGTGGCGATTGTGGATGACGGTGGCGATGGTGGATGACGGTGGTGATGGTGGCGATTGTGAACGACGGTGGCGATGGGGGACGACGGTGGCGATGGTGGACGACAGTGGCGACGGTGGCGATGGTGGACGACGGTGGCGATGGTGGCGATGGTGGACGGCGGTGGCAACGGTGGCGATGGTGGACGACGGTGGCGATGGTGGCGATGGTGGACGGCGGTGGCGACGGTGGCGATGGTGGACGACGGTGGCGATGGTGGCGATGGTGGACGGCGGTGGCAACGGTGGCGATGGTGGCGATGGTGGACGACAGTGGCGACGGTGGCGATGGTGGACGACAGTGGCGACGGTGGCGATGGTACACTGCGCTGGAGGTTGGATGTGGACCACCGGCTACAGGACGTCGGGCGTGCTGGAATGTGGAAGTGTGCAAGTGTGTGAGTGTGCTAGTGTGCCCGGCTCACTCCCGGCAAAATAATTGGCATTTTGAGCTGCCCGCCGCCGCAGCCTCTCGCCGCCCTGCTCCCACATCTGTCAACAAATCCTAGTATAAATAGCATCACTCCACAACAATAGCCACAATGGGATGACACAGGTCTGTGGTGATCCATTATAGTCGCAACATTTTAGATTTTCCACCTGTAGAGTCGCCGAGAACTATCAGCATCTCACGGTCGGCCACGACTCGCTGCACCTTCCTTCTGGGTAGTTTACAAGAAGTACAAACAAATTGGGATAGTGTGATTGACTTATTATCTGCTATCACCCATTATTAAAAGTCCTCTGCAGCGTTTATCTACCCTTACGTAATAGTTTCCAACAAATTCAGAAGCTGGCAAGAATATGAAATCTAAAAAATTTAGAAGAAGGATAATTGTATCCTCCTGAGAAGAATAGCCAACTGGTTGAAATTAATGGGTTGACCCATTATGACCGATTGTCATTCTAGAAATATGTGCAGTTTAAATCTCTTCTTTCGCAATAGCTTCACACACATTCAGAGGCTACCAAGACCAACTCGATCAGACTTAATGCTATTTACAGTAATAAGTGTTTGGCTAATGCAATAGTGATTTAACCATAACCGGAACCCTCGCCCTACAAAATAATTTCCAACTAACTTCAAAGACAACAAAGACCAATTCTACCTGTCGTTGAATCATAATTATTCCTATGAGAAGACCAAACTGGTTTAATTAAGAGAATTGGCCGATTATAACGATGTGTGTGGTGTTTATTAGAAAGTCTTCTCCAGTACCACTACCTATCACCTCCTTAGTCCTTACGCCTCCTTACATCATCATAAGCCTCTTCCACGCATTAATTTCCCACCAGACTCGAAGACTACTTAACAATTATTTTAGCAGTCTAGCAGGACTAGTATATTTACAGAAATACATGTGATTAAAACGACATAGACAACAATTTTCCACCGTGGTAGGTAAATCTGGCAGTCTAGTAAAGCCACGTAACAACCTAGTCAGTGGTCCTAATGAGTGGGAGGAGGGACAAAGCTGTGGGCAGTGCCGCAACATTCCTGGCAGGATGAATGAACCCGCCAGCGCTCCACTGCTTGCTTTCATCCGCCGCGCCGCTCCTAGCACCTCTTCTCCGCTCCCCCCTCCCGCCACCCCGCGAGACCTCCCTGCTATTTATAGCGCATCTCAACATGCTTTTTTATTTGTGGGATAATTCCACTAACACGATTTTGTAATGGAAATGAACCCCTACGTCATCATGGAATTGATGTTGAGCTTGGGTTTGGCTTGTTGTCTGTTGTCCTGTTGCCACGCTGAAGAATCTGTTTGTTTGAGTACTTGCAGACTTGCTCGTCTAGTAATGCGGAGTCCATGTTGGGGTTGGCTTGTAAACCGTATGAGTCAAGATGGAGAATCTTTTAATGCCTTTTCAGTTGACGTTCTAACTCGCTTGTCCAGCAATACAAATTCTTTGTGACACTACTGTATACTCATAAATCACAAACAGACAGTGGTTGGACTCTGATTTTAAAGGCTTCATCTGTTGTATCTTGAATTTTTTTTATGAAAACTAAAATTTCTTTATTACTATGGGTTCTCTTGGGGTTGGCTTGTAAGGCTGTCTGCTGTCAAGCTGGATAATCCGTCTATGCTTTGTCTATGTCAGTGTCTAACTGACTTGTCTACCGAGGTGGTCTGATGGCAGAAAGTGGAACACTTACTTGTGGACAAGAAACACGACGATAATTTGATTTGGGTTCTAAGAAAACAACCCCTACGTCATTAAGGAATTGAAGATGAGCTTAGCTTGCAAAACTCCAAAACTGATTGTGTTTGAATCCGTGTGATCTTTGTGAGTTCTTGTATCTTAACTGGCTTGTATTGATCAGTGGAGACCAATACGCGTCTGTTCGATTAAAAAGGACTGGAATGCTACTTTTATATCAACAGAAGTTACATAACCGGACTGGGCTTTTACAAAAACCTCTTCGAATCCAATTTTTGCAATGGGATTCTTGTTGAGCCTAGTCTGTGTGTTACGCACTAGTAGTTTGGAGAATTCCTCTATGCTTTGCCAGTTCAAGAATCAAGGTTATAAATGGCGTGTCCGGCAATTTGTGGCCATCTGCCCGATCCCGTCTCCCAAACGCCGAGTCTCCCGAGCGCCGCGTCTCCCCAGCGCCGAGCAGGCTATCTGGCATAATCTGACAGTTTTGACAGCCGAATTGGAATTCACAAAAGCAACGAAATGCGGTAAAGGGTTGTGCCCAAATGAGCAAATGAGCATTGTAGACGACTAGCACTGGAATGGCGTTACTTTTACATACACTTCATTGCAGAAATGATACGTCTTGAATTATAAATTAACATTTAATGAATATTTTAATGCTGACTATCGTACTTTTGAGATGCTAGCACTTAATCTTGAATGATTAACCTACCCTAACTTAACTTAACCTAACCTAACCTTTACTGCTTCACAGACTCATTGATACTATTGTAAAAGTGAAGGTATTAACCCTCGTCACTTCTGCATCTACTTTGGTCATTTATGGCCTCGGCGCTGTGGATACTCATTTGCCCTCGGCGCTGGGGATACTCGGCGCTCGGGAGACTCGGCGCTCGGGAGACTCGGCGCTCGGGAGACGTCACGCATCTGCCCTAATCTGAGGAGACACTCCTTGTGCCATTGACTTTAGATTTTGCATGGCAACTTCTACTTCTATTGCAAACCCTGAAACGTCTGTTGACATGTGTAAAATTTTAGTAAAGTTTAAGTGAACAGAACAACTGTAACGACGACAAAGGGTGCAACATTCTATGCAATTTGAACTCAATGAGCTGCTCATGAGCTGTTTTGTAGCAGTTTGATGGGCAGTAAACTAGGCCTTAATCTTGTTACAATTATAATGACTTAAGGCTAATGAGAGGCGCCTCGAATGTTTCTTCGACATTCCGCAGTTCGCGGTCAGCTACTTCCTTCTGTTCTACGAACTCATCCATATGGAAGCAACTAAGAACATGCATACTTCTAGCCTAGGTCTAGTGCTGACACTGATCTCTGTTTGTGGTTTTGAAGATTACTCATCATTTTACCCGCATTGTGGTTGTAAATGGGAATCCTTATATTGGTAAACCATTTTTAATCACATTTCAAGAAGCTTAGCATACCGCATACGGAATGTCAATTTGAAAACGTCAAATTTTCAGAGAAGAAATTTTGGGTAACTCCTGTACTCCTGAGATTTTTGCAAAAGAAAGAGTCTTAGGTTTCTCAATATTAATGCGGTCTCAAATATCTTTAAATTAATAATTTTGAAGCGAAGGCATCTCCAATTGTATTCCAATAGAAAAAATGCCTATGGATTATTTTATACTTTTCTCCTCCTCGTACTTCCAGTCCTAGCCTCTAAGAACTATCCTTTTGATTTTCTAAATGAAAAGGGCCGTGGACCTACCGGTTCAAGGAATATTTATGCTGTTAAAAAATTGGTCACTGACGCAATTTGATCGTGTCATCCATAACAGCAGTTACTGCCCCTAATTGTTAAAGAGTATATAAAAAAAATCCTATAGAACATCATTGAAAAGCCTAGCTTTACGAAAAAGAACTTTGCATTTACCTCTTTGTGACGTACAAACTAAATTGTGTAGTGTGCTTACAACATTTTGTAGGTAATCTCCATAATGTTGCTCTTCATACAAAGGGTTGATGTTTTCAACATATAGCCAACCGAACTCCAAACGTATGACAATCCTAAGAGAAAGAACATCCTTGGTTTCCTAACATATTCCACTGCTGCCCATCATAAAGATACTGGAAGGAGTGTTTAAGGAATCCAGAATGCCGTCGATTTATTCTCTCAGTCGGGAATGCAGCCCAGACTGCTCACGTACTTTATGTATTCTTGTCTCGTTCAGTTCCTCTATTATCCTTCTTCTCTCTTCATCTTGTTTAATTCTCTTCACTCTCTTTTCTGCAGTGAGTACATAAACTTTTCACGTTCTCTTTGCGGAAAATACAACTACTGTATACGGACTATCTTGGGAGATTTAAAATTTCTGAGGACAGATTCAGTGAGTGATATGTAGGTCTACCTACTACCATACTATTTCATACTGCTGTAAATTATCGTATGAATTTAATCAGAGAGAGTTATGTAGTTCAATTTGGGTTCCATACTACCGAGTGTTGGTTTATTTATGGAAAACAAGATAATAAGGTTTACAACAACAAAAATAATTTTTAAAACATATAGTTGCCTTTTAACGTTTAGATGTCAACGTTTGTAATTTTAACATGTAAAATAATGACACTCCCACAAAAATACAATATTGATCCAATGTAAAGAAATCTGTACAAGAACAGGTAACTCTCCCGACAGTTTTGGGTTTTCGTTTTTTGGCCCTAGGGGCCCGGGCCAGACGAAAGTCGATCTTGGAGGCTAATATTGCGTGACAAAGGCCCTAGCCGCCGCGCTGTGGTGTACTGGGTTACGGGGGGCCACTGGATATAGGAGACACCAGGGCCTTGAGGGAGTGTTGTCAAAATATATCTACTGTATTGTCAGTTTGATAACATTACTATGTAACGGTCTATGTCAGTTCTATATCAGCAGTCAAATTATTGTAACTTAGGGTCATGTACGTTTTTAAAAGTTATTATTTGGTGGCCTTTTACCTTTTCAGAAAGCCAAGAAAAAATGTTTTCTAAAGCGTTGGATTATTTGAAACCGACAATTATAGAAAATTAATAATCATACATTTATAAGCTCTGTCAAACTAGTTCGTAACTTGGTATGGTCGAAGGGTATAATCTTCAAAGAATCTATGTAGTTGTCTTACATTTTCCATTTAATGTACAGGACTGCGTTATGAGTTTTATTAATAAGATAATTAAAGTAATTTTTAAGACTACTAAACTCAATTTTAT